CTAAAGCCGAAGGGGCTCAAAAGCAGCGGAGAACCTGGAGGGGGGGAGGGGTCTGGATCTGTTTGTGCCCCCCCCATCGCTCTCACAGTGTCCCCCCTCCCCCAGCACCCGGGGGTCAATGGGGACCCAACAAAGATGGCGGCCAAGCCACCTCCTGCCTGGTGGGGGCCACACAAAATGGCTGCCGAGCCACGTCAGCCATGGACGGCGGGAGAAGATGGCCGCCGGGTCGGATCCTGTCCATCATTGGCCGTGGTGGCCAGAGAAGACGGCCACCGAGGTTCTCTCTGTCCATCGTTGGCCGTGGTGGCCAGAGAAGATGGCTGACAAGCCATGGTGGCCATGATGGACCAGACAAAATGGCCGCCGAGCCATTGCCTGTCCGACGTTGGCCGTGGTGGCCAGAGAAGACGACGGCCACTGAGGTTCTCTCTGTCCAACGTTGGTGGCCATCCGAGATGGCCAATGAGCTACAGTGGCCATGATGGCCATCCGAGATGGCCGACGAGCCACCTCGTGGTCTTTGGTGGCCATGGTGGCAGGAGAAGATGGCGGCCGGAGCTGAGGTGACAAGATGGCCACCGGGCCACCCAGGCCCCGTGGTGGCCCCGATGGTGGCCTCATCCCCAGCAGGGTCCTGGTGACCCCCAATTGTCCCTGGTGACCCCCAAGTGGCCCCATCCCTGGTGGCCCCATTGTCCCCATCCCTGGTGGCCCCAGTGTCCCTCTGTGTCCCCCACGTCCCCCTGATGCCCTCATCATCTCCTCGTCCCTGGTGTCCCCCTGTCCCCCTGTTGTCCCCGTGTCCTCCATCCTCTCCATGTCCCCATCCTCTTGGACGTCCCCCGTGTCCCCCATGTCCCCATCGTCCCCCTGTTGTCCCCACGTTCTCCATGTCTCCATCCTCCCGTTTGTCCCCCATCCTCTCCATGTCCTGTGTCCTCCCCGTTGTCCCCAACATCCTGGTGGTCCCCATGTCCCCCGTGTCCCCAGCATCTTCATGTCCCCTGGCCCCCCCCATGTCCCCTC